AAAAATTAGTCTTTTCGACCAAAATCTGAATCTCAAAAATAAACGACCCCCCCCCTTACAAAAAATGAAAAAATTTTTCGAAAAATAAATCTTTCTTAAAGTGATAGGGATCGATAGCAATTGAATTGGGATTGAAGCAAGCTGCTCAAAACTGTCGGTCTATTAGCTGTACGCCTTGATTTGGCTAAGCTACGACTGAAAAACCACTAAAAAATGAGTATTTTTGACCAAAATCTGAATCTCAAAAATAAACGACCCCCCCCCTTACAAAAAATGAAAAAACGTGTCAAAAAATAAATCTTTCTTAAAGTGATAGGGATCGATAGCAATTGAAGCAAGCTGCTCAAAACTGTCGGTCTTTTAGCTGTACGCCTTGATTTGGCTAAGCTACGACTGAAAAACCACTAAAAAATTAGTCTTTTTGACCAAAATCTGAATCTGAAAAACAAACGACCCCCCCCCCCTTACAAAAAATGAAAAAATTTTTCGAAAAATAAATCTTTCTTAAAGTGATAGGGATCGATAGCAATTGAATTGGGATTGAAGCAAGCTGCTCAAAACTGTCGGTCTTTCAGCTGTTCGCCTTGATTTGGCTAAACTACGACTGAAAAACCACTAAAAAATTAGTCTTTTTGACCAAAATCTGAATCTCAAAAACAAACGACCCCCCCCCTTACAAAAAATGAAAAAATTTTTCGAAAAATAAATCTTTCTTAAAGTGATAGGGATCGATAGCAATTGAATTGGGATTGAAGCAAGCTGCTCAAAACTGTCGGTCTTTTAGCTGTTCGCCTTGATTTGGCTAAACTACGACTGAAAAACCACTAAAAAATGAGTATTTTTGACCAAAATCTGAATCTCAAAAATAAACGACCCCCCCCCCTTACAAAAAATGAAAAATTTGTCGAAAAATAAATCTTTCTTAAAGTGATAGGGATCGATAGCAATTGAAGCAAGCTGCTCAAAACTGTCGGTCTTTTAGCTGTTCGCCTTGATTTGGCTAAACTACGACTGAAAAACCACTAAAAAATGAGTATTTTTGACCAAAATCTGAATCTCAAAAATAAACGACCCTTACAAAAAATGAAAAAATTTGTCGAAAAAGAAATCTTTCTTAAAGTTATAGGGATCGATAGCAATTGAAGCAAGCGCTCAAAACTGTCGGTCTTTTAGCTGTACGCCTTGATTTGGCTAAGCTACGACTGAAAAACCACTAAAAAATGAGTATTTTTGACCAAAATCTGAATCTCAAAAATAAACGACCTACCCCCTTACAAAAAATGAAAAAATGTGTCAAAAAATAAATCTTTCTTAAAGTGATAGGGATCGATAGCAATTGAAGCAAGCTGCTCAAAACTGTCGGTCTTTTAGCTGTTCGCCTTGATTTGGCTAAACTACGACTGAAAAACCACTAAAAAATGAGTATTTTTGACCAAAATCTGAATCTCAAAAATAAACGACCCCACCCCTTACAAAAAATGAGAAAATTTGTCGAAAAATAAATCTTTCTTAAAGTGATAGGGATCGATAGCAATTGAAGCAAGCTGCTCAAAACTGTCGGTCTTTTAGCTGTTCGCTTTGATTTGGCTAAACTACGACTGAAAAACCACTAAAAAATGAGTATTTTTGACCAAAATCTGAATCTCAAAAATAAACGACCTACCCCCTTACAAAAAATGAAAAAATTTGTCAAAAAATAAATCTTTCTTAAAGTGAAAGGGATCGATAGCAATTGAAGCAAGCTGCTCAAAACTGTCGGTCTTTTAGCTGTACGCCTTGATTTGGCTAAACTACGACTGAAAAACCACTAAAAAATGAGTATTTTTGACCAAAATCTGAATCTTAAAAATAAACGACCTACCCCCTTACAAAAAATGAAAAAATTTGTCAAAAAATAAATCTTTCTTAAAGTGGTAGGGATCGATAGCAATTGAAGCAAGCTGCTCAAAACTGTCGGTCTTTTAGCTGTACGCCTTGATTTGGCTAAGCTACGACTGAAAAACCACTAAAAAATGAGTATTTTTGACCAAAATCTGAATCTCAACAATAAACGACCTACCCCCTTACAAAAAATGAAAAAATTTGTCAAAAAATAAATCTTTCTTAAAGTGATAGGGATCGATAGGAATTGAAGCAAGCTGCTCAAAACTGTCGGTCTTTTAGCTGTTCGCCTTGATTTGGCTAAACTACGACTGAAAAACCACTAAAAAATGAGTATTTTTGACCAAAATCTGAATCTCAAAAATAAACGACCCCCCCCTTACAAAAAATGAAAAAATTTGTCGAAAAAGAAATCTTTCTTAAAGTTATAGGGATCGATAGCAATTGAAGCAAGCGCTCAAAACTGTCGGTCTTTTAGCTGTACGCCTTGATTTGGCTAAGCTACGACTGAAAAACCACTAAAAAATGAGTATTTTTGACCAAAATCTGAATCTCAAAAATAAACGACCTACCCCCTTACAAAAAATGAAAAAATGTGTCAAAAAATAAATCTTTCTTAAAGTGATAGGGATCGATAGCAATTGAAGCAAGCTGCTCAAAACTGTCGGTCTTTTAGCTGTTCGCCTTGATTTGGCTAAACTACGACTGAAAAACCACTAAAAAATGAGTATTTTTGACCAAAATCTGAATCTCAAAAATAAACGACCCCCCCCTTACAAAAAATGAGAAAATTTGTCGAAAAATAAATCTTTCTTAAAGTGATAGGGATCGATAGCAATTGAAGCAAGCTGCTCAAAACTGTCGGTCTTTTAGCTGTTCGCTTTGATTTGGCTAAACTACGACTGAAAAACCACTAAAAAATGAGTATTTTTGACCAAAATCTGAATCTCAAAAATAAACGACCACCCCCTTACAAAAAATGAAAAAATTTGTCAAAAAATAAATCTTTCTTAAAGTGATAGGGATCGATAGGAATTGAAGCAAGCTGCTCAAAACTGTCGGTGTTTTAGCTGTACGCCTTGATTTGGCTAAACTACGACTGAAAAACCACTAAAAAATGAGTCTTTTTGACCAAAATCTGAATCTTAAAAATAAACGACCTACCCCCTTAGAAAAAAATGAAAAAATTTGTCAAAAAATAAATCTTTCTTAAAGTGATAGGGATCGATAGGAATTGAAGCAAGCTGCTCAAAACTGTCGGTCTTTTAGCTGTACGCCTTGATTTGGCTAAACTACGACTGAAAAACCACTAAAAAATGAGTATTTTTGACCAAAATCTGAATCTCAAAAATAAACGACCTACCCCCTTACAAAAAATGAAAAAATTTGTCAAAAAATAAATATTTCTTAAAGTGATAGGGATCGATAGGAATTGAAGCAAGCTGCTCAAAACTGTCGGTCTTTTAGCTGTACGCCTTGATTTGGCTAAACTACGACTGAAAAACCACTAAAAAATGAGTATTTTTGACCAAAATCTGAATCTTAAAAATAAACGACCTACCCCCTTACAAAAATGAAAAAATTTGTCAAAAAATAAATCTTTCTTAAAGTGGTAGGGATCGATAGCAATTGAAGCAAGCTGCTCAAAACTGTCGGTCTTTTAGCTGTACGCCTTGATTTGGCTAAACTACGACTGAAAAACCACTCAAAAATTAGTATTTTTGACCAAAATCTGAATCTCAACAATAAACGACCTACCCCCTTACAAAAAATGAAAAAATTTGTCAAAAAATAAATCTTTCTTAAAGTGATAGGGATCGATAGGAATTGAAGCAAGCTGCTCAAAACTGTCGGTCTTTTAGCTGTACGCCTTGATTTGGCTAAACTACGACTGAAAAACCACTAAAAAATGAGTATTTTTGACCAAAATCTGAATCTTAAAAATAAACGACCTACCCCCTTACAAAAAATGAAAAAATTTGTAAAAAAATAAATCTTTCTTAAAGTGATAGGGATCGATAGCAATTGAAGCAAGCTGCTCAAAACTGTCGGTCTTTTAGCTGTACGCCTTGATTTGGCTAAACTACGACTGAAAAACCACTAAAAAATAACTATTTTTGACCAAAATCTGAATCTTAAAAATAAACGACCAACTTCTTACAAAAAATGAAAAAATTTGTCAAAAAATAAATCTTTCTTAAAGTGGTAGGGATCGATAGCAATTGAAGCAAGCTGCTCAAAACTGTCGGTCTTTTAGCTGTACGCCTTGATTTGGCTAAACTACGACTGAAAAACCACTAAAAAATGAGTATTTTTGACCAAAATCTGAATCTTAAAAATAAACGACCTACCCCCTTACAAAAAATGAAAAAATTTGTCAAAAAATAAATCTTTCTTAAAGTGATAGGGATCGATAGCAATTGAAGCAAGCTGCTCAAAACTGTCGGTCTTTTAGCTGTACGCCTTGATTTGGCTAAACTACGACTGAAAAACCACTAAAAAATGAGTATTTTTGACCAAAATCTGAATCTTAAAAATAAACGACCTACCCCCTTACAAAAAATGAAAAAATTTGTCGAAAAAGAAATCTTTCTTAAAGTTATAGGGATCGATAGCAATTGAAGCAAGCGCTCAAAACTGTCGGTCTTTTAGCTGTACGCCTTGATTTGGCTAAACTACGACTGAAAAACCACTAAAAAATGAGTATTTTTGACCAAAATCTGAATCTCAAAAATAAACGACCCCCCCCCTTACAAAAAATGAAAAAATTTGTCGAAAAAGAAATCTTTCTTAAAGTTATAGGGATCGATAGCAATTGAAGCAAGCGCTCAAAACTGTCGGTCTTTTAGCTGTACGCCTTGATTTGGCTAAACTACGACTGAAAACCACACCCCCTTACAAAAAATGAAAAAATTTGTCAAAAAATAAATCTTTCTTAAAGTGATAGGGATCGATAGGAATTGAAGCAAGCTGCTTAAAACTGTCGGTCTTTTAGCTGTACGCCTTGATTTGGCTAAGCTACGACTGAAAACCCAACAAAAAAATGAGAAATTTGGTGAAAAAATTAATTTTTCTTTTAAAGTTCCCCACCTTCGCCTTTACCTTTTTCTTATGATGTTTTAATGAAAGTTACCCGTACTCACACTGAAGTAGGTGGCCAGGTTGATGGGAAACAGCTTCATGGCCGTCAGCTTGATGGGCTGCTGGGCGCGATGGAGGTAGTAGAGGAGCATCTTGCGGAACCGGGCGCTCTGGCCCAGCCACTGGCACTGGAAGATGGCCAGGGCCAGCTTCTCGTTGTCCAGCATCAGCGAGGTGGCCTGGTAGCAGCAAGGAGCCGTCTGCAGGGTCACCGCCATCAGGTAGATGATCGAGGCTATCTTGGTGTTCGTATTGGCGAAAATGAAGATGTTGATCATGGTGGTGCCCATGATGGCGGCGGTGATCAGGAACTGGACGAATATGGTCCTCGAGATGACCGGGCTGACGCAGCCGAGCAGCTGCAGCACCGTCTGGTGATCCAGAATGCACCGCTGTAGCTCCTCACAGTTCTCCTCCTGCCGCCGCTCGTCTGGAAAGATTTCCATCTGCCCCAGCTTCGCATCCCGACCCAATCTCTCGACCCTTCTGGCCAGCAATTGCACCTGGATTCGCACTACATACAGATAGATTACGGCATAGACATCATCGCTGGCCTGATGCAGACACGTCCAGTTCATGATGATGAACTCGATCCAGGCCTGAATGCAGAATTGCAACTGGGAACGCTGCCAATCCAGGCCAGGTAAGTAAAGGGCATATGGCGGCTGGCCCAGGAGAAAGGCGCACACAAAGGTCGAGGAGGAGTAGATGGCATAGCAGATCTGGTAGAACCAGACCAGGCGGTTGCAGAACCTCACCGCCTCAATGATCAGCTGGAACTCCTCCCGATCCCGGCATCTCGCATCCAAGGCGGCCAGGTGGTGCTCTGCCCTCCGCAGCAGTGGTAGATTCCAGGCCAAGGCCACAATCTTGGCCGGCAGGATGACCGCATCGATGGCCACCTGGGCGGAGGTCAACACCTGAGTGATCTCCATTCCTCCCATATACCGGTAGCTGATCACAAAGCAGGTGGGCACCAACAGCAATTGCCACACATACATGACCACCGAGAAGCAGCGATAGATTCGCCTCCAGGTGGTGCTCCTCGTCGGACGACTGCCATCCGGAGCCTGCATGCCCAGGGCATAGAAGCAGTTGAAGAGATTCCTGAAGGCTTGCCGTGATTCGGGCAGTTCCTCCTTTATTTTCACTTCCTTAACCTTTTGACCGTTCACCTTCATGGTTGGCACACTTTTGAGGCCTGGCCACTTCTGAAAGACCCCTTTTATAGGCTCTCCAATTAAAGAAAACTTTACCCTCCTCTAGTTTTTAGTTTTTTTTTTTTCTATAAAAAATAGTTTTTATTTTCGCATTTTGGTCTCTGAATGATTTAAATGAATCGTCAATTGTTAATTGCTAATTTGTACATAACATAAGTCACAAGCAGCATTTTGTTTTTGCATATTTGTGAGTCCGCTCCAAACCCCCCCCTTCCCGTCGATCAAACTTTTCAAATGCCCCCCTTTGAAATTGTTTTCTCCGCTTGCTAATTCAAGGCAATTAAGCAGCAAATACAAAATAAACTTAAGAACTCGAACCCCTTTCTAATTAATAAATAATGCAGGCGAATGCAATTAAGCTAGTGGGTAAATGTTAAGGGCAGATGCGTGGCTATATTGCTTTGTTTCTGTTTCTGTTTCTGGTCAATCGGATTCAATCGGTTCCCATTTTTGGTTAACTTCGGCTTTGTGTGAGCATAAACAACAATTTGTCTAAATTATAGTTATTAATTGTTAAATATATGCATGAGGTTGGGGGGTGGACTCGCCGGCCACCCAAATGAAATACTATGGCCTAGAGTTTGTGTTTGTTCGAGTGGCAAACAGGTCGAGTAACTAAATTGGTAATTGAGCTCCTCGAAAGTCGAAGAAAGCCATTTGTGCATGCTGCGATCAGATTACACATTATTCGGGGTGTTTTCTAAATAACTTGAGATTTAAAAATGAATACAATCATTAGATTAAATATTTTAAAGTACATTGCTTTGGAAAATCCCTTAAAGAATCATACAAGTTTGTGAACCCACATAAAAACCCTTAAAATCTCAAGATATTTACAAAACCCCTCGAAAATAAACATGATTACATAATCGGTTACATAATAAGCATTTTAGTAGAAGTATCTATGTACGTGGCATATATATGTAAAGGTAGTCAAATTCATCGCCATTATATCATTATCATAGCTATGTATTCATTATTTGGAAAAAACAGCAGCAATATGCTTCGTTATATATATGTGTTTTATACATAAATGTATATATATATAATATATGTATATACTCGTATATATCCATTATAAGTAGTTGTAAATCGATCGAGTTATACTGGTATTCAATTCAGAGCTAGTGGTTTGGGTTAACGCGTCTATATCGGTCTATATCTAAGTGTCTATAAATATATATTAATATATAAACATTTTGTCAGACTTAAAAATGGAGCTTACGGCTGGCGTGTGTCTTGATTGGGATGTGGTGTCCTCGGAATTACAAAGTTTTATTAATTATTATTATTGTTGTTGTTGTTGATGGCTTGCTAGCTGGCTGCACTTAATCTGAATCGGAGAACGCAAGTGAAGAACTTCGTCTTTATAAATATGTATATATATATATATGTATAATACATAAATGGGAGTATATTAGCTATATCAAACTATTTGTTCATCAGTTAAATCGTTATTCTTATACAAGGGATTGGGATTCGTTAGGATGAGAAGTTTCTTTTTGTTTTGGAATCCGGCATCAGGCAAAACTAGTGAAGTCTTCACTCTACTTTTAAGGCAAATCGCACAAGTCGGGGGTTGCACATGTGTAACTATGGGTGTATTTATCAGGGGGTTCTATACAAAACTTCTGGAGATTCGGAAGCTCCAAGGAGTTGAGTTCAGTATCGGAACAAGAAAAGGTCTCCCGAAAATCTCCAGATGCTTCAAGAACTCCCCTCTATATGTTTTCCTGACTATCTGTTGGCTATTATTAACATCGAATTTGATATATTTACTTGCGGGTGAACAACTTGGTAACTACTTTTATATACAGACAGTGGGTATACGCTGCTTTGATTTCAAATTCTGCAAGATCCTATAATATTTAGAATTGCATTCGCTCGCTTTGATGTGAGGTAAAAACGCTCGTGACCACAAGGTTGCTGATTTTTTCCATTCTATCCCTTTGATATATGTTATAATTCTTCCTGAAAACCATTTTATTTCTCTGGAGTCTTTCGACTGTGGCTTTGTAAGTTTTTCTGCAGCTATAGTTTTTAGTTTTTTCCTTAATTGCTTGTTTAATTTTCGTAGATGAATGCTTAATTCCAGCTGACTGCTCCTCTATCAATGAGGTATTGCTCTTTTGCGTAACTTATTTTTCTGATTATGATTTTTATGGCTTCTCCTGGTATCTTTTGAATTTTTAGAATGCATGTCCCTTTGTTTTGAGGTAAGCTTCCTTATTTAAAAAGATGACCCTCTCGTTCATCTACTCCTCCGATCTCGTCCAGGTCCTATGGCTATCCCTTTCTTTTTCGCTTGCCTACTTGAGCCTGTCCTGCTCTTTCACAGGCGGTACTCATAGTGTGCCGATCGAGATCGCCGGGCTCCCGAGTACCAGCGATAGGGAACCCTCTGCTGATGCAGCGCCAAGCCAGCTGCCCCTCCGCCGGTTCCGATGTCCGCTCCTGGACTCCGCGCCAACTGCAAGGTTAGCGCCAGTCGCGTCTGCTAGGAGGATGAGGCCGATGGCGATGGAGTGCTGCCACTGGAAGCCTGTCGCTGGCGCCTCTGCTGCTGCTGCTGCTGTTGATGTGGCAACTGCATCGCCGGAGCCGTCATCCTGCGTCCCAATGTGGGCAGCGGATTGGCATCCAAATAGGCCTCCGGACTGAAGCGAACCCGGCTATGCTGGGAGCCAATGGAACCCTCTTTGGCACTCAAATATGAGCTATCATCACTGGTCAGCGAATCCGGCGGCGTGGGATTTGTGGGTGTGCCCTGCTGCGAGGATGTGGAGCCATTCCCTCCATTCCCACCGTTGTACTTCTTTAGCGAGCTGCGCAGCTTGGATTGGCCAGCTAGTGGGGGTGGTAGCGAAGCCCCCACCGATCCCACGTTCGGTTGCTGATAGCCCAGCGAGAGGGAATGCTGCTCGAAGGGCAGACTGGCTGGCCGCGTGACCGCCGCCGTGGCATATTTGCTCTTGGTCATCGGCAAGGGACTGTGAATCAGGCGGTTCAGCAGCTTGGGTGATCCCGCGTACAGCTCCTGCTTTGTGGGTGGAGGCACTTGCTCCCGTTCTCGTTCCCGCTCCCGTTCCCTCTCATACTCCGCATTCAAGTTAAGATTGTTGTAGTCATAGCAAAGCAGCTCTTCGTGTTCTAATAGAACATTTGAATTATTTGAAACGGTCGAGGGAGTGCGTCGGTGTCCGGCTGCACTCACGCCCATTTGAGGAACCCGTGGAGGTGGTGTTCGGGTCTGACTGACCGGACAGGGAACGGTCACGGGAACGGCCACCACTGGCGGTTCATACTGGTAGTCGTAGTAGTCAGGTAGCCGATGGTTATAGTCGTAGGAGTAGTCCGGATACGACTTGCAGTCACGCTCGTAGCTGTAGTTCAACTCCGGCCGGTACGGGAAGTAATTGGAACCTAAAGGAATAAAAACCAGGGATTAGGAAACACACTTCAAACAGCGTTTGTTTTTTGGTAACCTACCAAAGTAGCCATTCCGGTAGTTTCCCCCATCGTTGGAGTAACTCGGTCCGTTTCTCAGGTAATCCGCTGGCGCATAAAGTGGCGGTGGACCGATGCCACCGCCAACACGGAACTCCTGGAAGGCTTCCGGTTGAGGATTGGGGTTGCCAAAGCTGCTGTTGCTCAGTTTGCGGCGTGGCGATGGCGTCGGTGGCTGGTTTCCGGCATAAAGTGCACCCACTCCAACACCGGCTAGTGGCTGTGATGCCGCCACTGTTGTTGGAACGGCAGAGGGAACTGGCTGTGGCTGGTGGTGCTGCTGCGGGTGGTGCAACTGGTGCTGTGGTGTCCGCTGAACGGGCGTGTAATACGGCTGACTACCGCCGATTCGCCGGGCCAGGGATGTGGGCTGGGATTTGCTGACCGGAGCTTCAATGCCGCCAAATCTGTGGGTGGAAATATGAAATGTCATGGTATGAAAATGAAAAAACTGAAGAATTCGTGGTTTTAAAAATAAGGAAAGCTCAAAATTTAACACTATCTAATATCTTAAGCTAAAGAATTGATCAAAGTGTTACTGTATCACTCACCTCGACTGGTTGATCATCTTCCTGGGCGTGCTTTCCCGTAGATCCTGCCGTTCGCCCTCCTGCTGTTTAAGTGGCGCATCCACCTCCAGTTCCATGATCTGCTCCTGTTGTGGCTCCACTTCCTCGGAAACTGTAACCGCTGCTTTGGGCGCCGCTTTCAGGGCGGGCACTTCACTCAGCAATGTGGGATGCACTGGCGACACGTTCGACATCCGGACATCGTATCCGGCCGCCACTCCTGCCAACAGGGAGGCCATGTTGTAGAGCAGCAGCTCGATCACCGAGAGCTTCGGCTTTCGGGCGGAATCGCCGGCATAGAGAGTCGGCAGCGGTACGTTGCTGGTGAAGCGGCTGAGGAGATACGGCGACGGCGACATTATCGGCATGCTGGTGGCCCCCGCTCGCCAGTCGTCCATCTTGCTGTTACCCTGGTATCCTGGACGGTCGGCAGCATTCCAAGGCGGATATGAGACATGATTGAGTTACGGAATATGGCTCTGGCTTGGGGATCGATAGCTGGGATTTGGTCGGTAGTCGGGTATTCGGAGGGGGTACGAGTAGTTGGATAATAACCGCAGGCAATACCAAAGTTTAGCCACCGCATACCAGGAGTCTCTGTACGTCTGTTTAATGGTTTATCTCTCGGTCCGAAAGGGGATTATTCTTAGGCCCAGAGAAAATCCAAGACAATATTAATTATTGATACTTAAGATTCTTACGTACTTATTTTGCATAATAGATTATCATATATATCATATCATAATATATCATACCATATCATATCGTATTTTACCATATCATATATTTATATTTTTATGTTTTTATAATTAACTTGAAACTGGTCTCGTTATCAAATGTCTTGTAATATATATTGGGATATCGAAACAATTAATATAATGTGTTCAATTGGATTATTCTCTGTGCTTTTAAAGTTGACAAACAATCAAAACTGGTCGGCAGATTCTCTACAGTTGGTTTTATTGTCGGATTTATGTTTCTAAGTATTGGTTCTTTTTATTTTTGTTTTTTTTTTGGGTTGGCTTGGCCCCAAAGTGGAAAATACATTAATATACAAAGTACAAATCGAATCGAGCAGTAAACGTAAAATGAACAAATCGTAAAATGAATATAAATATACAATTGAAAATTTTTATAAAAATAATACAAAAAAATTAGCATTTCTTTTTTTTCCATCATCGTTTTTTGATCACAGGTTTTTTTGCGCGTATTACTCGTGTGCTTTTTTTAAAAGAAATCATAAATAAATTAATTGGAAACCCGATTGCGTAATAAATGTAAATAAAACTGTGCTCAAAATACCAAAGGAGTTGAATATCAAATTAAGAATTAAATAGAGTCCCATGTGTTCCGCAAATCGTTTGCAAATTTGTCCTTAAGCTTTAGCCAAACGAAATGCGGAAAGCGATGAAAATTTGAAAAATATCTCTTACATAGAAAAAGGGGGAAGAGAAGGCTCCTCGCGAGACACAAAAAAAAGTGGAATTCCTAAACAATTAAAACTTAGTTCAACTAAGATGTGTGTGTAATGTAATGTAAGGACGCTTATACGCATCGGTATAAATATAGCAATATGGTATACTTAATGTTAATCCAATTGTTACACATTAATGTATATGGTTTAGTTGAATATTTTGCCATTGGCCCATGCACGTGTTTTTTGGATGTCTACGTATGAACAGCGTTAGTCTATCCGTTTGATCCACAAATCTTTGCCTTCTCGCTATCGTTTCGCAATTTTTTAGGTACTTTCCCTGACAAAAATCACTGGACTAATTAAGAAATCTGGTTTGCAGATGTAGATTTTGCATATTGCATTCGTTAGGAACAATTCGGTTATTTTGAAATGCCTATCTCGGAGAAGGGAGTTTTGTTTTGTTGTTTTAGTGATTTCGTTAGACGGGATTTTGGGAATCTAAGCCCTACTATTTTGACACATTAGCTATGGCTAATCCTCAGAGGAAGTCTCCTTCTGTCGTCTGTTTTTTCTTTTCTTTTCTCTATCTCTTTCGTCTGACTTAGTCTAGAGTTTTAATATAAAACAATGAGCTAATTAGGCGGTTCTCCAACAGCAGCACAGCTCTAACTCCTTTTCTGTACAATCCGATCGTCGATGATCCATCAACATCGCTCCAATTGCTCGCAGGACTGCGTCTGCGGCTTCTTGCCCTTGCGCTTCAAGGAGCGACTACTGCCGCCTATGGCCAAATCGGTTTGATAGGGATCGATGGCACTGAAATCGGATCCACCCATCAGGTTGTGCTCGGCCAGCTTGCTGTACTTTTTGCGCGAACGCGTAAAGAGATTGAACAGCGAGCGGAACCTGGAGTGATGATGATGGTGGTGGTGCTGGGGATTATCCTGATGATGATGGGGATGGGGTTGCTGCCCCTCGTCTGGCGCTTCGACAGACTTGGATTTGGTGATGTGCTTGGGTCGCTGCTTCTTTTGGTTCTTGCTATGCTGACGCTGCTCCACGGCTCGCAGGTCCTCCTTCATCTTTATGACATCGGAATGTGGCTGGACATTGACCATGCGACGGGCGGTCCAGGCCTCACCCTGGATCATTTCGCCACCGGACGATGCGATCGATGCGGAGGCGGATGCCGTTGTGGAGGACGAAGACAGCGATGGCGAGGCGGATCGGTAGGTGGCGAAGCTAATGGAGGCACTGGACGTGTATAGATCCGATCTGGCAGTCGTCGGCGGTGGCGTGTGCACGGATGCGGGCTCCTCGAAACTAACACTCTGGAAGGTCACTGAGCTCTTGCGCGAGGTGGTGGAGTTCTGGCGCATCTGATTGATGGGCGCATGACTGTCATCTTCGCCATCTGCCTCCAGTGAGTCCAGTTCCGCCTCCTCCACTTCCACGTCCACTTCGCCTTCCTGCCTGGTGAAGAAGCAGTGCCGCGGAAATTGCGATCCGGAGAAGTTACGCTGAAAGCGTCCACCCTCGAAGGCCTCCTCCGCATCATCGCAATCCCTGGGCGTCGTCAGTCGTGTGCTGGAGTTGTACATGGTCAGGTCACCACTGGACTTGGAGTTCACCCTCTCGATGCTGGCCATGGACATCTTCTTGATCACATCCCGATAGAAGGCATGGTCATACGTATTGTTATCCTCCGATGGCAGCGCTAATTGGGTGGGGGGCAGTGCCAAGCTATTGCTGCTGATTGGAGGCGGATGCTGGCCACTACTGTCCAGCGAATGTTTCTTCCTTCCCACGGCGGGACTGTTGCCCAGACTGCCGCCAAATCGGTGCAGATGTACGGCACCACTAGCCTGATTCGAGGCCGAGGAGTTGTTACCGGACTTCAAGAAGGGAAAGCAGCCGGTTGGACTAGCCACCGTGTCCGTTTCCGAGCTGTCATCCGTGACCACATAGAGTGGAGCCGGCTGATAGGTGTGCGGATGATCCAAACCGAACTCCTGACTCCTGGCCCGATGGTACATCTTGGCTGGGGTTTGGCTAGTGCTGCTGTTGGAGTTACTCCTGCCATTTTGGAGGACGACTATGGTGTTCGTATGGGAGGTCGGGTTATTGTTGTTATTGTTATTGCTATTACTAGTAGTACTATTATTATTTAGCTGGTTGTTGTTGTTGGCGGAGATGCTGTTGTTGTTGTTGTTGGTGGTGGTGGTTGTGATGGTGGTGGTGGTGATGGCTTTACAATTGCCAATGTTGTTGTTGGGGCGCGTTAGTAAATAGGGTATACCTGTGTACAACAGAGGCGCGGCCGATGTGCCACCAACGCCTCCGCCTCCACCTCCTCCTCCGCCTACTCCTCCTCCACTTCCACCCAAATTTCCCAAACCCGGCGGCGGCGTCAGCGAGGCCACCTGTTGCTGGTTCTGCTGCTGCTGTTGCTTCTTGTCCAGATTCGGGGCACTCTTGCTGAACGAGGAGTGGGTCGAGGTTTGGGCGGGCCATTCCGGCTGACCACCACCCAGTTGCGAGGGCAGCAGGGATCGCTCTCGCTGGTGCGTCGTCGATGGGCCCCACGTCTTGCCCTTGTGCCCATCGGTAACTGATTTACCCCGCAAAGGTCATCAAAATAATACGGAACATAAGAGGAAAATATAAGGAAAAATAAAAAATAGATAGGAAAATCAATCAAATGTACGAAAATCAAGATAGATAACAAAAATATGCTTAAAAATCCGTATGTATTGTAATCATATTTTCGGCTACTGATACGGTGAACCGTGCATTCCGGCGGCATGACGACTTCGCTTCTAAATAATCTCAGGCCTTCTGGATGCCTAATCTTATCTATAAGACGTGCATGGTGCACTGAATGCGTGATGACAACTTATTACAGGTAAAGTGCGTTGCAGAAAGTTTCAAAAAATACAAATTTCATCGAGAGAAGGTTCCAAAAATTATTAATTTTCTTTGGGAAGATACAATCTCTGATTAAAAAATGGGCATTCATTGAAAAATTAGTCATCCTAAGACCTCAATACTAAACCAGATCGTGTGATCTGATAACCCGCAGCTTTGGCAACCTAACCAAGTGATCTTCTAACCCCAGGCTAATCAGATCATTGGGTTGGATAAAGGGGAGCCCCGTAAGATGAGTACTCACGTGCCACGATGCGCAGTCCGGAGAAGGAAGGTGATCCGGGCTGTTCCGCCTTGTCGCGTACGGCCGTGATGGTATGCCTGAATCCAGTGGGCAGCGATATCTGCAGTGGTTTGTTCTGTAAGGTAATATAATAATGAGTAAACATTTTAAAGACCTCCGATATAAGAGAATGACTTACCTTCTTGCCCTTTTTGGGCTTGCGTTTTGAGGGCACCGGCTGCATCATGACCAGTTCCCTTTCTATAAGCACCATTTCGCGTTCGCGCAGAATCTGTTCCTGGATCTTTAAGAGGGTCGCCTTCTCGCGCTGTTCGTTCTGCACCCTGAGCAGCTGCTCTTCCTTGTTGCGCAATTCCTGGCAGGATTAAAGGGATAACATGGCGGAATGTGACGGGTTAGTGTGGGGTTAAGCTTGGTCTGTACTTGGGGGGAGGTAGGTGCTACAAAATAGCTTTAACTAGGAACTAGAAACCATGCAGCAGTTGGCTTGAGTGGTGGGCTATTGTGGTTGGTTATCCAGCCAATCGTGGTCACGAATTAGCCAAACAAAAAATGGGATAACTTAGGCTATAAGGTAAAGTAAAGTAACTTAAGGTAACAAAACAGAACGAAACGCAACGCAACTAAAACGCAAATGGCGGGCAGAGAGAAACCTGTTGGGCGCGCTTACCTCTTCGATGGTTTGGAAACGCTTTTTTGGATTATAGGGGAATTTTCGTTTTGTTTTGGAGAGAAAGTATATACCAAATTATTAGAATTTCATCAACGACCAAGTGGGGGAGAAATGGGGGCGAGAATGGAATGGAAAAACAACTGAAGAGCGGCGTAGGGCCAACAAAGAACGGTCTAGAAACGATCTAGAGCAACTCTAACGGGAATAGGAGTTGGTTCTGCCGGTTTGTGTGGTATTTCCCAGCCTGATGGTACCTTTTCTTTTTCGCGCAAGTCGTGGAGCACTTCGGCGATCTCCTTCTTCCAGCACTCCTGCATATAGTGAAAGGATTCCTGAGGCGTCAGGGTGAACTTGGAGCACGCGATGCTCTCCAGTTGCTTGAGTATCTCCTTGAAACCAGGTCGCTTGTGTGGATCCGTTTGCCAGCAGCCTGTGGGTTGGTTTTTTTATATTGTGAGTCACATAAAGAAGTTCAAGCCTTGGGTGCGTTACTCACTTTTCATCAGGGCTCCCCAGGTCTCTGGGCAGGTTTTTGGTATGGGCAAGGTCAGCGTGTTGACAGCCACGCCATAGGCCACGGACAAAGGATCGAAGCCCTTGTAGGGCGTCTCGCCCGTAATCAATTCCCACAGCAATACACCATAGCTCCAAACATCAGAGGATCTGGGTAACAAAGGGTTTCATTTAGTTCTTGGACATTCATTGATAGTTCTTCAAAAGATATATCTTACTTGGAGTAGGTGCTAACGCTGATGACCTCTGGTGGCATCCAGGCGTACGTGCCCGCCGCGCTCATCCTCTGCGTGTTGTACATCTCCCTGGCCAAACCGAAGTCTGTGATCTTGAGCGTCTTTTGCTGCAGATGATTACCCTCGATGGCCTCGTAGATCAGGACATTGGAGGACTTGAGGTCGCGGTGTATGATCGACATGGGCGCCTCGTTGTGCAGATAGTTCATGCCCCTGGCTATTTGAATGGCCCAATTGACCAGGACATCGGGTGGTATCTTGCCAGCCAGGATGCGATTAAGGCTGCCGCCCCTGGCGTACTCCATTACCAAACACAGCTTGGTGTTCAGGCAAACGCCTCGCAGGGCGGCTATATTCTCGTGCTTGAGGGCCCAGAAGAGTTTGGCCTCCTGCAGGACATTTTCCCGCATCCGTTGCATATCATCCTCGCCCGTCTGATGGGCAATCTTTATGGCCACCTCCTCGCCATCGTAGTAGCCGCGATGGACCTTGCAGAAGCCACCGGAACCGATGACCTCCTTGATTTCCATCTCATTGTACTCGATCTCATGCGGCTGGATGTCGCCAATGGCGGAGGAGACATTCATTTGCAGTGGGTCCTCGTCGGTGACAAAGTCCTTGGGGAAGACGCCAACCTGTAGGCGAAAGGGGGTTTAGTTTTGGGGGTTTCTGTGTGTGTTTTTGTGGCATCATTACCTTATCCCCGATCTTTCCCGTCCACCAGCCCACATCGCCGGAAACTTCGCTGTCCGTTGACAGGACGACCACGATTTCGCCTCGCCGCAGGGTCAGCTCATCCTCGCCCTGGGCCTCGTAGTCGTACAGTGCTGTCCACAGGCTGCCATCGCCCACCTGGGGCTCTACTTGCTCCAGATCTGGAATTGGAATCTCTGGTGTCTGCTGGTGATGAAGTTGCTCCAACTGCCGCTGCTGCTGCTGCAATTCGCTGATGGGCAGCATGGTCCTGGTCCTTCGAGTCCACCAGTCGTCGTCGTCGTCGTCCTCGGGAGTCCTGCGAGGGCATCAAAGGCCCACTTTTGGCGACATGAACACCCCGTACCTCTTTGTTTTTGTTATTATCTTCGTTTTTTTTTTGTCAACTTGCTATTGTGTTTCGCTGTGTGTGAAAGAGAGATAAAAACGCAGGGGAGAAGAAGAAGAGGGGACAGCGAATGGGTTTAGTAATATTAGTTATGAGGGGGTTTTGGGGGTGGGGCTTAACTTACTGGCAAGGATATCGCGAGTGTGGTCCACTGTACGCCGTTTTGCCCCACTGTCCGTCCGTTTGGCCACACGCAAAAACAACAACAACAACGGCACACAATCAGACAACACGATACAAAACACACACACACGCACAGCACACCATTGTCGCCACTGTCGCTCTGTCGCAGTCGGCGTCGCAGTGAGCGTCGCTGTCGCCGTCAACGTCGCGCGTTACGTCGATTTATCCTTGATCCTTTGCAATCGGTTAAATCCGTTTTATCTTTGCGATTCCGCATATGTTTTTAAAACATATATGTATTAAAAAAAAAACTAGGGTTGCAACTGCTTAAATGTGAACTAGTTTCGTTGAACTGGTCTTTGGACCCAGCCAACGGAACTGGTTTGTATTGTGGTTCCGTTTTGAATTTCAGTTCCATCAGGTGGTCATACTTTTGATTGCCAATATCCAAAAACTACTCTTAATTAAATATTTCAATAAATTTTGGTTAATTGTGGGTATCATTTTGGCTCTATTGGGACATTTTGCTAGGTTCATATAAAGTGGATACGGGATTTTGAGCTAGTTCCCTTTCGATTTATACTAAAAAATACCAGCGTAGTAGGGTTAGCTAAAGAATGACATTTTGGTATTTGCAAACTTTTCCAGGGCTGCTATATTTTTTTCGATAAAATTATTTTTAAATATTACCACAGCTTATATAAAGACTTCAAAAGCTATAACAAAACTAAGATAACATAACCAAAACAAGAAGACTATTTAAAATATATTTATATTAATGATCGCTGATCGATAAGTTACTATCGGTACCGTTAATTTCGACCGTTCAAAATTTGTAAAACAATCGATAGTTTTTATAAAATTTAAATTTGAATTTAAATGTACCTGATCCTTTTGCTTAAAATAAATTTCTTAACAAACTATAAATATAATAAATTCAAATAATGAAAGTAAGCCAGTTAAGACAATTTTAGTAAAGTTGACCGGTATTAAAAACTTGTTTTAAATATTAAAAATGAGCGTTTACATTTTAATGCTAATGCTTTTTATTTTCTAGTACCTACAGCTCAACTTAATGAAACTATATTACATTATAAAGTAATTATTTAAAATCACGTTTCAAATGAAGTGTCACTGTCATATGTTTTCCGTTTTGATTTTTAGCGAATTCGTGCTGCGCATGTTTTTTGCAGAGGAGTAGGGGAAATCCGTGGAAGGGGGCTTACAGCTGCTGCCGCTGCTTTTGCTTTGGCTGTTGTGCTGCTTTGCTGTTTTGCCGATGAGGATACGGCCTGATGATGTTGCTGTTGCATCGCGGAACGGAACGCTGTGTATCCTGTGTATCCTTCCACCGCACCGCACCCCCCCCTGTACACCATCACCCTGCGCCACTGGCTCTCTTCCATTCTACTTTCGGCGACTGTGATTCTCGTCGGGCGCCCAACACGCGCCCTTGTGTGGGTGGTAGGATGTGGGTGGTGGGTGTTGGGTGTTGGGCGGTGTTAGGTCGGTCTATTCCATGCCATGTGTTTTGTAAATCAGGCAACAGCCGCACCCTCCCCCCAATGTTGGGGGAGTCCTTTCGGCTACGCTCGTGTCCTCTCGGCTGCTGCTCTGCTCTGCCGCTCATCCTTTTGGTCCAGCGTCGGCATCGCACAGTGGGAGGGATCCACAGAACTTAGCTAACTAAATCTGTAAAGGTTCAGAGCCCCTAGTTTATCACTATTTTATTTTATTTTTAAATGTGTGTAAATTAGCTAAATGCAGTCGGAACCTAAAATGGTTTAGTATTTCATTACCACAAGTAGGGAGACAACAGATTAAAATAAAAAATATTGAAATATTTCTTAAAAATTAAACTTATGAAGTTCTTATTCTCGAAAAAATTGAATAATTGAAATTTTAGTAAAAAAAATTTGACAAATAGCACAAACAATTTCTCATTTCATTATCACAAGCAGTAACTCAACAGATTAAAATGAAAAATATTGAAATATTTCTTAACTTAAGAAGTTCTAACTCTCGAAAAAATTTGAATTATTAAAATTTTAGAAAAAAATTTTGACAAATAGCACAAATAATTTCTCATTTTAGAATAGTCTAAAATTAGACACAATATTTTTTTCAGAAAGACGATTTTTTTTGGTATTTAGCAGCTTCTATATGTAAATATTCGATTAAAAGGCTTTCTTTTTTAAGTGATTTTCTGTTCTTAAAGATATTTTTTAATGATTAAACAGAAGAATAGGATTTAATATAATTACACAAAATATTTTAAGAGTTAGGAAGAGATAAAAATTAAATAGATAAGAAAATCACATACCTTAAAAAAATATATATAAAATATTTAAATATTGCTAAGTTTAGGCAATCTATAGGAGAAGTTTTGGGTTAACCCAAGGTTTTTGATAAAAAAAAAAGAAATTATATGGCCCACTGTGCCTCGGCATTCGTTTTTGTTGGCAGCTGAGCCGAACCAAACCGGGCTGATGCCTGATATAGCGCTATATGTGCAGCCGTAGTCGTAGTCGCAGCCTTTGCCGGAGCCGGATCCGGAGCCTGGAACAGAGCGGCGCAGGACACTACGGGCCAGGACCTGTGTACCGCTGGGCTTCGCTTCGTCCGGAGAGGAGAGGAGACGAGAGGAGAGCATCCGCATCCGAGGCGGCTGAGGATGTGGCAGTGGCAGTGGCAGAAGCAGAAGCCTCAGCAGAGGCTGGGCCACTCAGTTACGCGCAACATTTCAACGCAACGTCGTGGCAATTCCAAATCGGCGGCAGACGCGGGCGTGCGCAGCGCACGGGCGGACTGCACGTAATAAATCCTCCGGAACGGGCTAAAAATACGGCAAACGCTACTAATCACACACAATAGGAACCGTCAAAAAATATTACTCTCAACTCGAAAACCGTATTGAAAAATTGTAAAAATAAAACGCCCTTCTCAACACTCCAAATATAATGTAGAAAAACCCCCAATACGAAAAAAAATATACAATATCTTACGCACAAAAATATTTTTGCCGCTGTCCCAAAAAAAATTCTCAATATTTTTTTTCTCCACCGCGTGCGCGTTTGTCAGTGTGTGTGTGTGTGTGTGTGTACGCGTGTGGGTGAGATTTTGCGCGCGTGTGTGTGTCGCTATTTTCTTGTTGTTTTTTTTGGTAACTTTTTTTTGCCGTTCTTTAATCCCTGGCTAAATCAAAAAAAAAAAGAAGAGTAAAAATGCAAAAAGCCAAGGCAAAAATGTAAAACAGCCGATGATGCAAAAAAGCGTCCCAAGCGCACAAGAAATACAAAAATTAAACACGAAATATAGAAATTAAATAGTTAGTTTTAAGGCAAACGAAACGCACAACAAAAAGCCAAAATAGATCAAGTAATCAAATTTATTAATATAAATAAATAATCACTAATCAAGCGAAGAGAAATCATTAAACTACAGCTTAAAACTGAATAAATCTGAGGTAAGTCATGGGTATAAATATGATTTTTAATATTTACATTTAATATAAACAGAGAATATTTGTTATTTGGTTAGTAGAAGAGAAAGAAAATCTTAGAACCTGCTTAATATACCTAACAGTTCTTTAAAAATAACTTATTTGATTTAAAAAAGAGCAGGGTTCCTAACTTTAAAAACTGTCGATTTCTGAACCAACTGATATGAAATACCTGCGGCTATCCCTTGGATAACTATAATATTTAAGTCTAAAATTAGAAAGACTTAAATCTCGCTGACTGACGGCTTATTTAATCTATTATTTAATTTCTTTACCGTCTCTCAATAGTTTCCTTGACACTATTTTCGCCTTTGCCAAAAGAAAAATCGGGGGAAATCGGATGGCTGCCTCCACACACACACACACACACACACACTCGCATACAAAGACAAACACATACACATGCACACATATATACACACACACATATACATATATATATAGACATAAATCCATGTAAAGCTGTTGCCTGGCCTCTAAAATGGCTGCCTCTGCCACTGCCGCTGCCGCTGGTAACCGCGACGCCGACTGCGACGCCGGCAGCGTGGTAAGCAGCGCGCAAGAAGTTGAGGTTATGTCTGCGCCGCAAAATGTGCTTGGGCTTGGGATCCAAAAAACGCTGCGAAAGTGGCAAAAACCAGGGGGGGGTTGTGGGCGGTTTACGGGGGGATTTTGGCTGCTGGTAATGGGGTGCTCCAAGCTGCCCTTGGCATGGAAATGCTGTCGCCCCTTTTCTCGATGGGCGTGACTGCAGCATCCTTTTTGGCCATCCAAAGGATGCTTCTGTTCTGCATCGCCTTTGTCCTTGTCCATGCAAAACATTCATTGTACTTTACACAGGGAGAACGGACGTATTTAATTCAAATCATTTTCCATCACAAGGAAATGGAAATCTCCGAATGAGCACCCTAAAAGTTTGCAATTAGTTTTATTATAGGGATTGCTGCTTACATCTTTAGAGGTTTCAGAACTCTTATAAAAATAGGCCATAATAGAACCACGATTTTAAGAATAAATGCTCAACGACATTGGCCTATTTTTCAAAGCATACTTTAAGACACATTTCTAAAAGGTTTAAAAACTCAGGAGATTATAATATTTGATTTTTATTATAAAACATAACATCAAATAATAGAATTTTAAAGATACTTTTAAAACCATTCACACACACATTTTCTAAAAAGCAACGATATAAAAGGCTCTCTTCATACCTTTTATAGTTTTTGAATGGTAATAAACAGTATCTTCATCATAACCATCTTTTAAACAATCTTAAGTAAATAGCCTACTTTAACTTCTGTTTCATTTTATGAAATTTCTCTCTGTGTATTTATTTATTCCTTTTATTTTTGGGAGTGGGTGGTTGCACGATGTGGATGACCTAGCCCTATTTTTGGGCATTACTGAACTGTTAGCGCTGCTGCTGCGCTGCGACTGCGCTGCCGGTCTTCAGTAAGAGGAAGAGGAAGAATTTTATTCTAGACAAAGTCTAGCAGAAAAAATTAACAATTGAAGTACAAATACCCTGAAGAAGAACAGCCATTAGAAATATATGTAAATACTACAGATTTTTCATTTAGATTAATAAACCAAAGATATTTTTAAGACCAACTACTTACAAGCCATTAATAATATCAAATTTGTTATATTACTAACGGAATTGAGGAAAATAAGAATGATTCAAAATCACTAGATTACTTAATACCACAATATATTTTTCAAAGAAACCCTTTGATTTTTTATTTGTATTAACTAACCTAACTACTTTTATATTTATTTTTCCAGAACATCAAGTCTTACCGCGAAACTATTCGACTTAGAGCGCTAAACAAAAATCAACGATAATCTGTTATATTTA